TCAAATGATGTTACAAAGCTGTGATAATCAAAACAATATGGTACTTGCATAAAAACAGATATGCAGACCAATGGAACAGAATCAAGAGTTCAGAAGTAAACCAAATATAATTGACTAGTCTTTGGCAAGAGATCCAAGAATACACAGAGGAAGAGCAATAGTCTCTTCAATAAATGGTGCTAGGAAAACTGGACATTCATATGCAAAAGAATGAAACTCAACCCCTAGGCTACTCACAACATCAACTTGAAATGAAAAACTTAAACGTGAGACCTGGAACTGTAAACCTCTGTAAAAAAACATAGGAACAAGCTCCTTATACCGGTCTTGGCAATAAGTTTTTGGATATGATGTCAGAAGCACAGGCAACAAAACCAGAAATAAACTAGTGAGACTATATCAAATCACTGCAAACCATCAACAAAATGCAAAGGCAATCTATGAAATGAGGGAAAATGTTTGCAAACCATCTACATGATAAAGAGTAAGTATTCAAAATATATAAGGAACTCATATGCCTCAATAACAAAAACCAAGTCATAGGTTAAAAGCAGCAGTTACCAATAAGACAGGTGATAACACACATCGGCTAGAGTGTGGAGGAAGGGGAACGCTTGTGTACTGTTGGTGGCAACATAAATTGGAGCAGTCACTATGGAAAATGTTATGAAAATGACTCAAGAAATGAAAAGTGGAACTGCCATATGACTCAATGACCCCACCTCCGGGTATATATTCAGAGGAAATGAAAGTTATGACAAACCTAGACAGCATATAAAAAGCAGAGGCATTACTTTGCCGACAAAGTTCTGTACAGCAAGGCTATGGTTTTTCCGATAGTCACGTATGGATGTGAGAGCTGGACCATAAAGAAGGCTGAACACTGAACTAGTGCTTTTGATTTTTGGTGCTGGAGAAGACTCTTGAGAGTCTTTCTTTGGACAGCAAGGAGATCAAACTAGTCAATCCTAAAGGAAATCAACTCTGAATATTCATTGGAAGGACTGTTGCTGAAGTTGAAGTTCCAATAGTTTGGCCACGTGATGAGAAGAGCCGACTCGTTGGAAAAGACCCTGATGCTGGGAAAGACTGAGGGCAGGAGGAGAAGGGGACGACAGAGGATCAGATGGTTGGATGGCATCACCGACTCAATGGACGTGAGTTTGAGCAAGCTCCAGGAGAGGGTGAAGGACAGGGAAGCCTGGCGTGCTGCAATCCACGGGGTCACAAAGAGTTGGACATGGCTTAGCAGCTGAACAACAACATCTTGAAGAGATATCTGTATTCACATGTTCACTGAGGGAAGCCTGGAGCTCTGCTGTCCATGGGGTCGAAAGAGTTGGACACGACTGAGTGACTGAACTGAACTGACACTTGAAGTTGGGCTTCCTTGGTGGCTCAGATGGTAAAGAATCTGCCTGCAATGCAGGAGACCCAGGTTAGATACCTGGATCAGGAAGATTCCCCTGGAGAAGGGCATGGCACCCCAGTCCAGTATTCTTGCCTGGAGAATCCCCATGAACAGAGGAGCCTGGCGGGCTACAGTCCACGGGGCCGCAAAGAGTCAGACACGACTGAAGTGACTTGGCAGGCACACATGCAATTATAGACATTACCATATCACTTGGGAAATAAAACACTAGCTATCCTAGAACAAGGGGAACAAAAGATGGAACGTCCGGAGTATCTGTGTCACTTTGTCCATTCCCAGCCGTTTCAGGTTTGGTTGATGGTTGCTTCCTGGATGGAATGTTTCTACCACGGATGGATGCCGTGTTTCTACCACGTGATCATGGAAGCCAGTCACCTTTCTAGGACACAGCCACTCCTTCTGGGGTCCCTCTCCTGGAGGTGGCACTGTCTCCCTCCAGGAATTCCGAGGGCAGAATCCTGGGAGCCCAGCTCTCTGCGTGTCTGGGCTCTGCCCTCCCTTCACTGGGGCTGCCCTGCCCCAGCTGTCCTGCTCTGTCATCTTTTTCCTTTTCATCCTCTTTTCTCTATCCTCTCCTCCTCCCACCCTGTCCTACTCCAGGCTGACATTTCCTCGTAGACACTAGCAGTCAGGTTCTAATCAGGGCAGAATCCAGGGGATCTTTGAATTAGGATGGGGAAAAAAAGACATCTTCATGTTCATTAACCTCTTACTGAAGTTTAGCATTTCCTTCCATTATGAATGCACATGCCAAAGCCCTGTGCTATTTCACACAATTTCCAGGGACTTTGTCCATAATCCAGGCTCTGCTTTTGGCGGGGGGGCGGGGGGGGTGCTCTTGCACGTATGACATTCCTGATACTGGAAGCCTTGAACTTCATGAAGCTCCACGCGTGTTTTCCTGTCACATCTCAGTCTCTGCAGACATCTGGATATTCATTCCTGCTTGTCCTGCTCCAGCTCTGGGATGCAGAGTTGGACCTGCTGTTTGAGGGCTTGCTAGCTAGCTGTGGATAAGGAACCTGTTACCACGCCGTGCATGTTTTCTATAACTGTTTGATAGCGCTACTTCCTTATGATTGATTTCCTTTGCACCTCAGTCATTATTCTATGCCTTTAGCAACCATAGCTCTGAGAAGGGGCCCTAGGCTTTGCCAAATGGCCAAAGCCATGGCTTAAAGTGTAAGACCCTCACCCCTGTAGGAGCAGGCTGCTGCGTCTTCTTCCTCAGCCACTTTGATGGGGCCTCACGCTGCAGCCTTGAATCTTCCTGAAGTACAGTGAGGGCCACGGGCCCCCATCAGCAGGATTTAGGAGCGAAGCCTTGGCCTGTGTCCCCTGGCATCTGCTTCTGTCTGCATCCTGTCCGTCTCTGCCCCTTCACACACCCATCCTCACCCACAAGGGGCTATTTTGGGGTTTCATGTATACCCTGCACTCCCTACCTTCCCGCATCCATGCAACTCCTGCTGCTAAAGGTTCTGCATTCTACTCAAAGGACATTTCAGGCAATGCTCCTTCTGCAAGGCCTCTGGTGTGACTCTCCTTATGGTGGGAGCTGTGGTTTAGGTGAGTGACCACCGTGAGCTTGGCTGGATGGCGAGGAGGGGCCTGGAGAGTCTGTTGCATTCCCGGGGAGCCTCTGGGCTGCATGCCAGCACTTTTTGGGTGATGACCATTCTTAGGAAGGACAGACACCACCAGGAAGCCATGTCTGCCTGAAGAACCAGAAGCTCTCAGTGGTCTGGTGGATGGAGAACGTTCAGATCCATGACCTGCGCTCTTCTGAGTGACAGGAGATGGAGTCAAGTTCTGAGGAGCAGGGAGCATCCTGAGATCTGCTCTGCTGAGCTGATGCAGCCTGTGTGTGCCCCGGGAGGATGCTGGCCTGCGGGTGTGGCCACCACCTGTGGCTCTAGCCCACCACCGTCCTCTTGTGGGAGGAGGAGCTCTACCTCTGGGGTGTCCGCCTAAACCTTGAGGTCCTCGTTGCCTGCAGGGGCTTGAATAGTGTTCTTCCCCAAAATTCATGTCCACCCAGAACTCAGACTGTGACCTTGTCTGGAAATAGGGTCATTGCAGGTGTAATCAGTTAAATTAAGTCATGGTCTTCCTGGAGTAGGTGCGCCCTCAGGTGGCCCTAAATCCCACAACTGGTGTCCTTAATAAGGACATGAGAGCAGACAGAAGAGACCATCATGTGATGACAGAGCAGAGACCAGAGTGATGCCGCCGCAAGCCAAGGGCTGCTGAGGGTGGCCAGCCGCTGCTGCAAGGAAGGGGAGGGGCCTGGGGGAGGGCCCCACCCCTGGCATCACCTTGATTTGGGATTTCCGGCCTCCAGGACTGTGAGAGGATGGATTTCTGTTGTTTTAAGACACCAGGTTCATGGTAATTGTCCTGGCATCACCAGGAAATGGTGACAGATTCACATGGGGCCACAGCAGGGGGCGGCTCCTGCTTTCTCCTGGCCCCCAGCTCCACAGTCTTCCCCACCCCAGTTTACCCCTCTCAAGTCCCCACTCACTGAATGAATGGGACAGCGAACCTTTCCCCTGTGTCTGTGCCAGCCTGCTGGCCCCGGCAGGACTGAAGACAGCCTGCAACCCAAGCTGCTTAACCAGTGACGTGTTTGTGTTTGCATGCTTTTTTATTTTTAATTAACTGTTTGGCATATAGCATGCTTTTGCATGCTTTTGATTACCTCATATAATTATTCAGATATAAATTTTAGAAATGTCAAGTGTTTCTTGGAGAGGTAGCTGGAAAACTACAAACCTACCACATGTGATGCTCTGTGCCCACATTCCTAAGGTTTCAGACCAGAGGGGCCCTGCCCGTGGTTGGGCTACAGAGCAGGCAGTGGGGTCACAGGACCCATGATTGATTTTACTGAGGTGCAGTCATTTAAATCAGGTCAAATTAAAGCCCCCGAGAACACACAGTAAGGGGGAGTGTAGAATCCCCGTGGATTTTAATACAGTTTAAGACGCTGGTCGGTAATCTCTGGGGATGTACTTTAGGGTAGAAATTTAAGAAAGAGATGCTTTTTGCCTGAGATTGTGCCATCCAATCATCTCCATGTGCAAGGTGGGTCAGGACCTGAGGATACAGGGTGACTGCTGGGGTCCCTGCGTGGGGGGCGTTCCTGCTTGGCTGGGTTGGCTCTGGTCGGGCGTGGGAGGATGACACTCCTCTGCCAACCATTGGAGTTGATCAGGAAAGAGATTCTGAATTTAGTAGAGTGTCTTTCATTTTTTTTTGGGGGGGAGGGGGTTATCTTGAAGATGAGTGATACATGACCAATAGAGTGTAATGAAACAGTTAAAATCCTTTAATTTGAGGATTCAAGGGAATATTGATCTTTAATAGCTACAGGTCATGTCCCAGATATCTTTTTCTTTTTTCCCCACACTGTTGGGCTTGCAGGATCTCAGTTCCCTGAACTAGGGATTGAGCCTGGGCCGTGGCAGTGAAAGCCCGGAATCCTAACAACTAAGCCACTGGAGCAGTACCCCTCCTCCTTTTTGTTTTGGTTGAAAGCACTCGTTGAGAATTTCCTTACAGGTTAGAGGAGGTGGGCTTGGAGAGGAGACCGGCACTCCCTTTCCCAGGCGAGGATCAGGGCCAGGACTAAATTGGCGCAGGAGCTGTCCGTGGTCCTGCTGCTGACCGTGGGGTCCCCGGGCACACACACCTCGGCGGCCCCACCTGGATCAGAGGTGGGGGAGCGTGATGAGCCTCGAGGCCTTGTGCTCAGCACCCTTAGAGGCTCTTGCTGAGCGCAGGGCTCACTGGTGTTGCTTCAGGACTTCAGCCCCACTAAGGACCACAGGTTTCTGAACAGTCCTCTCGTGGTTTGCCTCTGTCCTCTGGGGAAGGGGTGGTGGCCCATGTGGCCACACCTGGGGCTCTGACTATAGGCAACAGCCAAGCTCCAGGCTGTGCCCGGAGGAGAGACTGGCCTGTGGCTTATCCTCAGCTCCCAGTCCTTCGGGGGACCCTGCTGTATGTCAGGGACCTTGGCCTCACACCGCCTCCAAGGGTCCCCCTGGCAGATGTGTCACAGAGCAAGTGTTATTTCCTGAGATCTGAATCTCAGGCCAAAATGCAGTTTCTCTTAAAATCCAACTGTTCTTAAAGACCATTTCTCGGAAAAAAAATAGCTTTCTAAATCAAATGTCACAGTTTTAGGTCTTTGGGGCTATATCAGATGTAAAGCATCCTTGTTTGGTGATTCACAATTGTAATGGCCGTCTCGCCACATGACGCTTGGGCGGGGGTGTCTATAAGCTGTTAAGACACTCAGAACCTGTCTCCGTACTAAGTGGCCCCAGACCGTCGACGTTTTGGCATTTTGGGTTTCTAGTGGAATCCATGGGAGGGTGCAGGGGAGGATTTATCTGCTATATGCGACTGTCCCTTCGCTGAGCCAGGATGGTGTCTGCGGCTCCTCGTGGGGACCCAGTGCCTGACATAAGCCAGTTGCACGGCTGGCATTCAGGACACCTCGTGAATGAGTGAGCAAAAGGATGCCTAGCCATCAGAGAAATAGCTATTTGTGTACTTCCCCCTGCCCCCACAAAGAAGAGCTGGTATACCATTTTAGCCTTTGTTTTTCTATGAATTAAGGGACTTTCTAGGTGGCCCAGTGGTAAAGAATCTGCCTGCCAATGCAGGAGACATGGGTTTGACCCCTGGGTCAGGAAGATCCCCTGGAGGAGGAAATGGCAACCCACTCCATTATTCTTGCCTGGGAAACCCCATGGACAGAGGAGCCTGGCGGGCTACAGTCCATGGGGTCGCAAAATGTCAGACACGATTGAGTGACTGAGCATGTAGCATGTTAGTAAGTGCTCATCCTCCATAAAACAAAGGTTGAGCATCTGGTATTTTCTGCCTGCTGTTTGCTGTCTTTTGTATATTGTGCTGAGCTGCAGAACTGATGAAATGCCTCTCAAATCCGAGTTGAGTTGAGTTCATGCAGTAATCTGCATTTCTGTGGAAGCTCTGCTTGGTTCCAGGCCTGTGCTGGGCGGCTGGTGGAAGGAGCAAGAAGATGCAGGAAGGTGCAATCTGTTTGACACAGACCTGACTGTGTCCCAGAGGAGGCCGGGAGCCGTGGGGGCAGCAGGTGGAGAAGAGCTGTGGTGGGTGGCACCAGGTCTTAACACAGCAAGAGGAGTGGACACTGATTTCTCAGAGCAGGAGAGATTGATTTGGGGAGACAGTGGCAGTGAAATCAGGGGGGACTTCAAGGAGGTGGCATCTGTACTGACCTTGGGAGGTAGGTGCATTTGGAAGAGGCAGAGTGTGAGGGGCAGGAGAGGAAAAGCTGGGCTGTGTGGTGGAGACCCGTGTGTGCTGCCGGGTAGACTGGGGGTGGGTGGAGCCAGGCCATGAAGGTCAGGCAGAGAGTCCTCATCCCCTGGAAAGGGCAGCATCATGAGGGGCTGAGCAGGGTGAGATGTGGCCCAGCTGCCCTCAGGAGGAATCATCTGAACCCAGGTCGAGGGTTCACAGGGACCCGGGCAGTCAGATGTGGTCCCTGGGAGGAGATGGGGGGCTGGGGAGGAGACGGGGTGGCCTTCAGGGTGGGGAGGTGAGGACCGAGGCAGGAAAGCTGCAGGAGTGTGGCTACTCCTACTCAGTGGGAGGAAGGCTGGTGACCTGCAAAGGGAGATGGAGGGGCCCTTCCAAAATCTGTCTATGACTCTATGCGTTGGCTTTGGACCCCCAGGCAAAACTTTATCTCAGGGCATCGGCACATGACATACTGGCTACAAAACCTATTATCCAGTGGAGTTACCACTCGACGTTCAACTTAGCAGAGTTTGAATTCTAGAAGCTGAGCCTCTCCCGCCTCTGAACGACTGTTCCCATCCTGGGAGAGTCCATATCGTTGTAGACACCTGCCCGCCCTGGATGGTGCTCCCCTCACCAACCGTGGTCTCCTGGAGGGCAGGGCCCCCATTCTGGCCACTTCTGTTCCCAGGCACCCACGGTCTCCATCACCGGGGGTTAGGTGTGATGGCATGTGTGGTTGACGAGTGTAATTCATGAGACACATCAAGCAAGATCCACTCCAAATTAAGTTCAAGGGAAAACTTTGGAATTGTAATATTGATTCTGTCCTATATCTTCTGTGTTTCATGCACAATATTGAACAAAGTTGTGTGTCCTACTTTAGGAAAAGAAATAGAATTTTATTCAGGGTATTGATTTTCTGCAAAACCTGATTCCATCGTTTTAAGTAATGAATGCGATCACTCTCCTTATCTCCAGATACCTGTGTTACAGTCTTAGTGCTGATAACTGTGATCGGGGCTCAGCGATCGATGGCTTTCACAGCCAGTGTATAGGCAGCTGCAACCGCAGTTCTGTTGATGTGTGTGGAAGAGGTTTCCAGCCAGAGCAGACAGCTAATCAAACCACGGAGGGAGAGAAAGTTAGGTGGAAGGAGGGACGGAGGCAAAGCTGCTCCCACTTACGCCCAAGGCCTCTGCACTTGCAGCCCCTGCAGAGACACACGCAGGGCAGTGGGGCATCCAGAGATCCAAGCTGGCTGGAATGTTAACAGGCTGGGAGGTGGGGGTGGGTGCGTGACTGCAGAGCAAGAGGCCTCAGCTTTCTTGAAAAGCCCTGAACTGCGATGCCCAAGGTCTGTGCACCAGAATCCCGTGTCCCTTCCTGCATCGTTCCCAGCTGAGTCCACACAGGTGAGTGTCCAGGAGGCTGAGCTCCAGTGCTCAGCGCCCAGGCCCTCAATGTTTGGGGATTCAGAGAAAAATCAGTGTGAGCTGGCCAGGAAAGTGAACATAACATTTGATCCAAATCTGAAAGGATACCTCAGCAAAGCAAGAGACCCTGTGGGCTATAGAAGATGCAGAAAGAATAAACCACCTCAATAATTTAAGCAACCTTAAGCCTTTGATTCAGAAGTTCACATCTATCCTGAAGTCTGAGCTGCTGACTGTATGAGAAACTGCACTGGAGGGCCCACATGCCTCCTCCTGTCCAAGGGCTGTTTGCTTCCAGAACAGCCTGGTCTCCCAGCCAGAGGCTCCAGAACTCTCTGCAAGTTATTACCTTGCTGGACTGTTCTTGACTTGTTTACTGGCCAGGTCTCTGGGAGAGTGTCCGGGTGCTGAGTCTGTAGAATATCTGAAGACAGAATAATCTTTCAATTTTTTATGTGAATTTTGATACAAAACCAATATCAGTCTCATACAGGCCCTTGGACAGATGACACTGCTGGGGCCAAATGAAAATCTCATTGGAGATCCTGAGGAAGGCTGCATGCAGATGGGGACTTCAAGTACAGTGTTCACGGTCTGTCTTGACCTTCCCCTCACCCCCAGGATGCACTGAGTCAGTACCAAGTGTTTGTCATCTGCACTTATTTGTAAAGCTGCAAGAGAGATTTTAAAGGCCATGCAAATGGGATATAATCTCTTTAAAAATGAGTAAGGAGGCCACTGGTCTTCCCTGGTGACTCAGATGGGAAAGAATTGCCCTGCAGTGCAGGAAATCCAGGTTCGATCTCTGGGACAGGAAGATCCCCTGGAGAAGGAAATGACAACCCACTTCAGTATTCTTGCCTGGGAAATCCTATGGACAGAGGAGCCTGGCAGGCTACAGCCCATGGGGTTGCAAAGAGTCGGACACGCCTGAGCAACTAACACACGAGGAGGTCACCACGGATCCATAGAGCGGGCCAATTCTTTCCTGAGAATGCAACCACTTCCCCGAGCCTCAGTGCAGTCTGTGAAGGCCCTATCCTACCTGAGTGCAGGAGGGAGCAGTGGGCCGGAGCTTGGAGATGTGGGGCAGCCTGAAGTCCTGCCTCCACAGGCTCCACGGTCAGGGCCATCGCTTGGGTCTGGCTGAAATAGGGGTGCTGACTTTGCACTTCTGCTTTGTCATCTGTGGTGGGGATGGTAGCCTCTCTGTGCAGCAGGTGTTTTAGGCATGATTAGAAGATTAAATGAGATGATCTCTGTCGAGCATTGAGAGCAGGGCCTGGCATGCTGTAAAGTGAAAGTGTAAGTGAGAGTGAAATTCGCTCAATTGTGTCCAACTCTTTGTGACCCCATGGAATCTACAGCCCATCGAATTCTCCAGAGCAGAATACTGGAGTGGGTAGCCTTTTCCTTCTCCAGGGGATCTTTCAAACCCAGGGATCAAACCCAGGTCTCCCACATTGCAGGTGGATTCATTACCAGCTGAGCCACAAGGGAAGCCAAAGAATGCTGGAGTGGGCAGCCTGTCCCTTCTCCAGCAGATCTTCCTGACCCAGGAATTGAACTGGGGTCTCCTTCATTGCAGGTGGGTTCTTTACCAACTGAGCTATGAGGGAACCCCTGGCATGCTGTAGGTGCTCATTAAATGCTCTCTACTATTGCTGCTAGAATTCAGGGGAGCTTGCACATTTACTGCAGTGAAACATGAGGGTACATCCCTGCTCACCCCCCCAAGTCAGCTGACCACACTCCTCTTCCAGTGCGTCCCCTGGACTGGGGCATTTGGTGTTTTATACAGACAGAGGGGCGGTTTCTCCACATAAGGGTTTTCAGTTCAGTTTGACAACTGCTGCTCTAAGCTGGTACTGCCAGCTGGTCATTCCAGTCCATCTCTGCCAGCTCCCTTTTGCTGCAGATGGTGCCAGGTTTGGAAATGAGCTGTGAGACCTGTGAATGGGCTCAGCTCCTGGCAATTCATCTCCACCAGCCTGATCACTTGAGACCAGTGGGTGGCTCTGGAAAGGGCTGCTATGGACTCGCGTCTCAGTGAGAGCCGGGGCACCAGACATCCCAGAGGGGAAGCTGGCGGATGCGGTTGCCAGGGTAACCCAGCCTGGTACTTCTCCCCATCTCACGCAGCCCCATGCCCATTCCCTCCTCTGCCCCAGGTCACCACTGCGCTTCCCTAATGAGGCTTCTCTGCCTTCTGCCTTCCTGTTCTCACTGCCTGAAGGGGCTTGGTCCCCGACCCCAACATCCACGCCCTGCGGAGGCGCTCTCCAAGGTGCTGACCGGCCCGCATACTCCACGCACACAGGCTTTCCTCTGTGTGATGACTCTTAAAACTCTGCTCTCAGTACACCCCAGATCTGTGCTGACAACAATAGCATCTCCCAGTTATGAGGACGCGCAGTCTCTGGTCCTCACTGTGGTCTCGAGGCACCGGCGTTATGTCTCCATTTCAAAAGGGGCAAAACGGGAGCTGCGGGGTAGTAGGGCAGTGCTCTAGCTCGAGGCAGGTCCTGTGGCTCTTTCCCCGCATCAGCGAACTTCTGTTCCACCTGTGTTTGCAGCTGATATGGCTGTGTGCGCCCTGATCTTGCTTCACAGTCAGCATGCCTGAGACCACGCTTGCCAGATGCGCTCCCAGCCCCGTGTACCCCTCATTCACCGCCACACACCCAGTGCCTCCTCTCCAGCCACCTCCATCCATCATTGTTTGACTCCTCTGGCTTTTCCCCTCTTTGCCTGTCCCAGCCTTTTATTTCTCATTTCATGTCTCTAGTTGAGGTCCCCCTTCCCCTTTCCCTCTCTCTTTCTTTAAATTCAGACTTTAAACCTGGTACTGACACTAGTGGGAATGCATTGGATATCTGTTCACAGGATGGTTAGGTTTTTATTCCATTAGTCATCTGGCTAATTGCTGTGTTATACTTCTGCTCCAGGCTGCATCCTCCAGCTCCATGAATACGCAGAATTTCAGTGACTCACTATCTCTCAGTCTCAAAGTAAACTGGAAATCCCAGGAAGCTCCTGGATTCTCCTTTAGAAATAAATGCCAGGAATCTCCCACTGGCCCTCTTGTTAGGTGAATTCTTGTGGGAACGTGGGAGGCAGAACGAGGAGGTAACTGGACAGGGAATCATGCTATGAGGATCAACACAATACTTGTGAAAGTTAAAATGCTAAGGATTCATGCCAGCCACAGTCATTCACATGGTCTGTCCTGGGTGTCATGTGGCTGATGAAACTCCTTACAATTTTTCCTGCTGAACAACCTCCATCTCATTATTTGGTAACCTAAGGGGCCAGATGAATAGCTTTCAGTCACTTCTAGGCTCCCACAGAGAATTTTCCCTCTATCTGGAATCCTTCTTCTTCCCTGCTCCCTCCCATCTGGTCCCCGTGCCCTGCTTTGAAGCCCAGCCTCACACCACCTCATCCAGAAGCCCTGCCTAGTTCCCCTTCACTGGGGGCTGGCCCTTCACACTTGGAGCCTAGTTACCCCCTCCTGCCCCAGGCAGGGAAGTGCACTGTTCACCTTTGAATCTGTGGCCCCTGGGAGCACCCAAGCAGTCTGCACTGCCGCAGTGTTCATAGTCAGAGATGGGCTGGTTTGGTGTCTAAACAGTGTCTGGAGAGATCCAGCACTACACTCCTTGGTTGTCCTAAAGATTCTATGCAAATAGTTCCTTTCCGTGTTAATCCTGAGATGTTAGAAGCACAGAGATATGAAGCTCAATACAAATAACGCCAGGAGCATCTTTCTTAATTAAATTTGAAATGCTAGTAATTAGCCACATTATTAGAGCAAATCGAATCTACCTTATGTCGCTGGCAGGACCGATGTCTGGAGGCTGGCCCCTCCTCACTCACAGTGGTTTCAGCCACATGAAATTGTAGCTCACGTGGCAACATAACTGCCTTCTGAGCGATCCCTGCCCGGAGGTGCCTACTTCAAAGCGCGGTACTGGGGAGCTTTCTACACACATGAGTGCCGCCTCCAGGGCCTGCAGTTGCCCTCCCCTGAGCACGTGGGAGGTGGAGCTGTGGTGTCAGTTGGGTTGGATTGGCTCCCAGGGGGTCAGAGCAGTATCAGTGGTGCTGCCTACTGTGTGTGCAGAGCCTTCTGCCTCCTGCCTGGGTGCAGCCGGGAAGCAGGGGGTCGGGACGTGGGAGGCAGAGACTGGGGTGAAGCTTCATACAAGCCAAGGAGCCACTGGGAGCTGGAAGAGGCAGGAAGGACCCTCCCCTGCAGCCTCGGAGGGAGCTCAGCCCTGCTGACACCTTGACGTAGGACTGCTGGCCTCCAGACCTGTAGAGAGAATACATTTCTGTTGCTGTAAGTCACGCAGTTTTTGGTACTTTGTAACAGCAGCCCAGGAAACTGATGGGCCTGCCATGCCAGGTGCTGATGAGGTTCCTGGGACCCTAACAACAAGGGGCTGTTAGAAAGAAAAAAGCCCCAGCAGTTGCTTCATGTGGAATTTCCAACCAGCCTGATGCAGTCAGTGGTGCTGGGCAGACCCCAGAGTGTTAGCTGCTGTGTCCTGCACATCTGAGTTTGTGATGGGCTGGGCATTCTTCACTCTTTCTCTTTTTCTTTCCTCTTTCAAACTAATGTTTGTTTTGGTTTTCTTCTAAATGCATCCCTTTAAATCTCTGGGGCTCTGCTCTCTCTGTCCCTGCCTTCCAGGGACATCTCTCTCTGCACTGCCCCCCCATCATATCTGCAGGGACCCTGAGAGCTAAATCCATCACCATTCCCGCTTGGAAACTGGTGTGCCAAAAGGAGGATTTAGGATAAAATCGTGTACTACCATCCCCTAGAGGGAAGACGGGCATCTCCCCCACCCATTCCCCACTCCTGACCTCATATGGGCACCTGCTGTTGTTCGCTAGATACTCCCCCAGGCTTTCTCAAGACACCTCTGCCTGCTCCCCAGGGAGGCCGTGGGGTCACCTCCTTAAAAATTCCAGATAAGGCAAGTTAAGAAAACACCCCAGGGCTAAATTGCAGTTCATTTGTTCCCGGCTTGGAACACCGGTATCTGTGCAAGGCAATTAGGCTTAATGGGATCACCCCTTGCAGAGGGTAAGTGGTTGACTGCGGTTATCTGTAGGTGCATGGTGATGTTTTCCCTCCTAGAAACAACCTCTTCGTCTGACACGTTGGAAAACCAGCTGCTGGAGTTGACCTCCTCTGGCCGACCTTGGCCATACTTTTGCAGTTACTTTATTGCAGAGCCTGGCAGGGCAGCTACTCAGTCACACAGCCAATGATGGGCAGTCGTGGCTTCGAGGCTTGTCCCCTGATTCATCCCACCCCCTGTTCCATCCCAGATCTCAGAGGTTGTTGAGGATGTAGGGCCTGGAGGTCAGCAGTTTGCCTCCGAGCCCAAAAGACCCCCAGAAAAAGGGAATGAAGGCAATGCAGAGCCCATCTCCTTCCCCCTTTTAGGCTCAATGTTATCAGAGTATCTCAGAGTTTGATGGACGTGTGGCCGGTGGGCAGAGATGACCTTCCGAGGGGGAACTTGCTTTGAGGGTAGAGAAGGTTGGGGTGGCTTGCTGGGGCAGACACTCACCTCAGGCCATGTCTGGTTCTGGAACTTCTGGACCAGTCCTGTGCGAGGGCTTCAAGTAAGTGACACAGCCTGTGAGTTTTGGATCAGTTAAGGGGGCCCCATGGCCCCGAGACCAGCTAAACTGAGGGTAACTGCAGGGAGCAGGAGACCCCCCGGCCCTTGCCCCTCTGAGCTGTCCTCATCCGTTTGAGCTTCTGCAGTCTCCCTGGCATTTCTGGAGGTGCGTTGCCTCCCGCAGGGATGAGTGTCAAGAGAGATCTTCTGGAGGGGGTGGGTGGGGGTTAACCTCGTGGTGAGACCCCAGGGGGATCGTGCTTGAGTTCTGCTAACTTCACCAAGTGGGAGGTAGCAGGGACAAGGCTTGGGGAGGGGCTGTGTAATCCCCCCAAGGCAGTATGGGTCCCTTGTGCATATACATGTGGGTTCAAATGGCCATTGCTTCCTGCTTCATCATAGTGACCGTGATGCTGGTGTGTGTATCAGCTGTGGGGTAAGAGCTGGGCTTGGAAGCCAGGACCCGGGGGAGGGGGTACTGCTGTCCCCCCAGCTGGGGGCCTGGGAGTCTCCCCTTCTCCAGGGTCAGATGTCCTCATCTGAGTGTTGGGCCGGTGCCTCCAG